CTATAGATAGAACCAAGGTAGCCCCACCTTCAATCCATTCATCGATCCGGATACCGCACACGCATGATAAAATGCAAAGAGGACTCTGGACACTACCCCGCATCGTAGGTGCTACCATTTGGTCGAAGGACAAGGGCAAAGAATCGTGCGGTTGACGCTTTTCTTCAGTGTGAACTACGAATAGCCCAAGTCGTGGTACTGTCAATAAAACAGGCCGACTTCTACAATAACGCACTTGGCCCTCGCCCATTAGTGTAGACAACGACCTGACCTGGTTCCAGTGATATGAACCTTAAGGTTAAAGCCCGTTTGGTAAATACCACGTCACGCAATCAGATAACTTGTCAGATACCAGATATTGCAGCGACTGCGGCCTGGCTAGAACGCAATAGGTTGTGACTATGCAAACTGACAATCCCTTTCTTCATCCAAATGGGCGGCCAAAAGACAGCAACCAAAACCGGCGCTCGAATATGCGTGGTTAATGGTTGTTCAAACTAAAACTGATTGAAGTGATGCACTTCTTAAAATATTAGGCGGCTTCGTCGCACAGTTCGGACACTTTTAACTGACTGCCCGTCCTCCACTAACAGATGGCCAACTATACTAACCATTCGTGATCTGAGTTCGTCTAGAAACCCACTGAAAACTACCACAAAGCCGGAAATGACAAAACTTAGATGTTTGGCCTCAACCTAGAACCGATGATTATAGTTTATGACTGATCATCGACGCGAAGCGAGTACAGGCCCCACCTCAACTTCGCAGATGGTACTTAAACTGAGGAAACCGTAATCAGCGCTAAGAACAAACCATATACCTCAAGGAACAACTTAGAGAAAACCTTGGTCGATTGCCATCCGTGAATGAGCAGAGTAGCTCCACCGAAGGTTGACTAAACTGTTCAAGCGCATAAACAAATTGAAAATGGCTATCATAGAGATCCACGGAAAATAAACCAAGTTCAAACTAGGGACAGCTCACATAGTGCGCATAGACGAACGAGCGTAACACAGGCTGACCCCACCGGTAAAAACTCAAAGTGCAGTACCAGTTTTGAGCAATAAATCCTCTCTGCGTTTCAGTAAACACGAAAAATCGTGCCTTTTTATTTGTAATAACTGAGTAGCACAAATTATATACAGGGGTAACATTGTTTCAAACATTTTCCACGGGAAACTATCAACGATCCTCCATATAGCTTGAAACTTCCATCACATCAGGGAGTTCGCTAATGTTCACTTCAAAGCGGTTTTGTACTTCGTTAAGAACCTTGGCGTCCAACTCATCCGAAATGAAGGTAATTGCTAGACCTTTGGTCCCAAAGCGACCAGCACGAGCAACCTATTGCCGTAGAGTTTAAGGAGTAGATTCATTTACCCTGTGAAGATAGGTGTCCGAGTCTTCTGCCATATCGTAATTGAACACGATATTGACACGCTCTATGTCCATCCCGCGACCGAACAAGTTAGTGGCTACCAGCAGTCGTTTTTGGAAATTCTTGAAGGCTTGGTAACGCTCCAGACGCTCTTCTTGTGTCATGGCCCGGTGCATTGCGATCGCAGGAAAATTCTGATCGACCAGCAGTTGGGACAGTGCCATACATCGCTGGACTGATTTCACGAAGATGATAACCTAAAAATGAAAGTATACTACGATTATTCATCTCAGAAGTGCAACAATGAACGCATATGTTAGCAACGACGCCCACATCGGTATTAGCATGGCAAACATCATAAAAATTGCATGCGACCTCACCTGATTGAACTGGAGTTCATCTAATAACTCGAACAGTTTCCGGTTCTTCTCATTCTCTTTCACCTTGACATAATGTTGTCGAAGACCATGGAGCGTCAACCTCGAATCGTTTTCGATGAAGATCTCCAGGGGCTGAAAAAGAAGGTGGAATCACCAATGCGTACCTTCATAACGGGGTTGGGAAAAAGCAAAGCGCAGATGATATATAGAAAAAAACAGCCTGACTGATCCGCCACCTGGTCCAAACGACCCCGAGCCCGCTAACGCCACTTGACACGCGATCCGCGTCCGCCAAAGAACATCCGAGTGAACACGAGAAACTGGTCCCCGGTCCTTCTACGGCGCTGATAACGTCGGAACGCTCGGCAGTGGGACGCTTAACGAACTGGATGAGGTTCAGCACTCATGTTAGGTTTGGTATTACTGGGGTCTCATCAGGTAGTGACCTGTGATTGGTTTGACCGGCCCAGGTGGCAGTGAGTGGAAGCGAATTTTTAGATAATCCGTGCGCCATGGTCAACCTACGTCTTGCATGAAGTTGCGACAGACTGGGCGGATTTCTTTGCTCATTGTAGCGCTGAACATCATCACTTGTTTTTGATGAGGAGTCATGCGAAATATCTCCTGAACGTCCCTGCGGATGTCTACAGCTAATGTTATGCAATCAGAGTAACCTTACCGAGCGTATCCAGCATTTTATCACACTCATCAATAATGAAGTGCTTGACATGCTGCAACTTCAAAGCATTGTTTCGGAGGAGATCCAGTATTCGACCCGGAGTTCCCACAACTATGTGTGGCGGAGACTTCGTAAGGGTTTCGATATCTTTACGAATAGGCATTCCGCCAAAAAACACGGCAACCTGCAGGTCTTACTATTCTGAATCACTGAATCACTCACCTTTATCTTTGGCATATATTTGGAAAATCTTTCATACTCTTTACTAATCTGAAAAGCCAATTCACGAGTATGGCACAAGACTAGGACGCTTGTGTGGGCATCCTCGTCAGGGTCTAATTGCTGAAGTGTAGCTATGACGAACACTGCAGTCTTTCCCATTCCAGATTTGGCCTGGCAAAGCACATCCATGCTCAAAATGGCTTGAGGGATACACTCGTGTTGAACTTCAGATGGATGTTCGAAGCCGCAGTCAACGATCGCCCTCAGCAGTTCAGGCTTCAAGATGAAGTCACGGAAGCCGGAGCTGTGGATGGTTACATAGGCGCCTTGCACTCCCTTTTTAGCAGGAGCCTCGCCATTGGGTTTAGCATCTGGTACTGCCTCGGGTTCCTCGTCTTCATAATCCAAAAGTTCAGATTCATCGGCAACTTCGCGCGTATCCATAGCGTCAGCAAGAAAAACCGAACAGTCGGGGACAATGGCGGTCGACGGGATAATTTAAAACAAAATTCTCTGAGGCTACCGAAATCAATTCCCAAAAGGAACCAAAGCCGAGCTTTATGTTTTTTATGTCGATGCTTTTCAGTTTGCTCATCCCATAACGATGGGACAGAGGTAACTGCAGTACGACATCGAGTACATTCGGCGCGTACTCCGAAAATATGTTGAAGTCAGGTCAGGTCAGGTTGCACAGGACTGATAATGGTCACGGCCAATCGAGCTTCCAGATTTCTTCCGGCAGTATGCTCACAAAGTGTGCACCCACCACTGCAAATTGCCTTCAGAACCCGTCCTTGCTGAAAGGGAGGGAAAAAGCGCGTCTCCTTTCACCTCATCGGCGAACAAGGGA